GTTATCCAGACCGTGGGAGCCAGAATTGCGGATCAGGTTGACCAGATGTCTCCTGAGTCCAGCCAGGATTACAGAACATGATGAGTTATATATATTCAGTATTTTTTTTTCAGTAGAATTATTAATTGATAAGTCATGCATGAATAAGAATGCACAAGTTAGCATGTTGAATTGCCAGAGTATCTTTGTTGATCAAGAAGTTGAGATGAATTTTATTAGCAGATTGATTTATTTGAATTGTTGTGGCCTGAGGCCAAAATATTATGATGCTTGATTATTTGGATATGATTTAATGCATGCTGGCAGATGAGTTATATAAATATATATATCCTTGTTTTACAGGCCGAATATTTTTTTGGGAAATGTTCAGTTACAGGGGTGACTCTGCCGAATTTTTGGTAGAAGTCACATTAAAATTTTATTTAAATTCAGTTAAAAACGTAAACTAGTCTTTTACACCCAGCATTAGCCAGGTGTCAGACACTAGAGGAAAAAAGGGGTTTTTAGCTGATTATCAAATTAAGGGCAGCATAGTTTTAAGTCTATCAGAAATTCAGTAAATTAGCAGATCTTTTCAGAGTTTTATATTTCCTTAAGCCAGCTCAGGTATTCAGATATAAATGTGTGGCCCTCAGATTTTATTGATTACCCTATAAATACAGTTATTGAGATGCAAGTAGTGAGTATAGTACTAGAGGGACAGACCTGAGAACCCCGGGTAACAGATGTAGGCTTAGTACCCATCACTCGAAAAGGTGAGGGTAGACAGATATAAATAGGTTGCTCTAGAAACACGACACCAAATTTCCAACATCAAGCTTCAAACCAACTAACAATTACGTCTAGTGTAGCAACCCAGTCCTTAATGAATATTTAATTATTAATTTATTCCAATAAAAGACCACTATACCCCTAGAATATTTTAATAGTTTAAAAGTTGACTTTTTGACCGGAAAGGAACTCGGGGATTTCAGTTATATTGTTGCGTAGAGTACGTCGAGATGAGTCCGTAGACACGTAGGGGGCTCAAATCGGAGTTGTAACGAAGGAGTTACGATCAAAAGAAGTTCAGTGGCATAACCGTAAATATTTCAAAGTTCAGTTATTAAAACCCAGATTTTTCTCATCCCCTCAGAAGCTTCACGACCAGCCGACTTTAGGAGAGGATTTCTCTCAGCTCCGACCACCAATTCGAGCAAGACCGGTGCCAAACGAACCACCTCACTCTCCTATTTCAGTCTCAACCCATCCCAGTCTTTATCCGCTGGCGTGGTCGCCGGAATCAGCCACGAAACAGGCGATGTTGTACAGTTTTTTAGTAAACTTTCGGGAGCTCGTTTCGAAGCCTCCGGCCACCAAATCGGCTGAGTGAGGTATGGTTTTCTAGCTATTTTCCATGCTCTAGCTGCTGGTTGGGTAGGATTTCAGAAATTCCAAGCATAAATACTTCGATTGTTAAGTTAGGTTTCAGCCGGTTTTGAGGGTGCGATTCTGACCACTTCCGGTCAGTTTTTGGGGTAAGTCCAAGAACAAAAGTGGTTCCAAATAGGGTGTTTTACCTAGAATAGGAGTCTTGAGCCGAGATGTTGAGATTTTCTGGCGAAGCGTTATCGCTTTAGGCACCAAGCGCTGCCGGCGCATGGGTGGCACGTGAGCAGTAGGGTGGAGACTACAGTCAGTCCTAGAATGATCTCCTAGTCCTCACGAGCGCGTAGGATTTTGCGGATCTTAATTCGGATATCGTTTGAACCCCGAACGGATCTCGCCTACTGTGCGATTTCCGGGTTCAATACGTTTGAACCGTTGGATCGTAGTTAATTCCAAGTATGTTAATCTAGACTTTCCCAGGATCGTATGGTATTTGACAGATCATAAAACGGAGTCCCGGATACTCCAGAAATGTCAGCCCTAGAGTGAGGTTTACAGTAAAACAAACCAGTTACAGGTCCGGAACAGAGGAAAGGACTACGTGTGGCTTGATCCCTCAGAAAGGGTACATAGGCAGCCTACAGTTATCAGGTGCAGCCACGAATCAAAGTCCCTCAGTTGTGTTACTGTTTTTAGGACATTTTGGTCATTTACGACCCACGTTTACCAGGTGTTAGTTTTAAACAGGTTTCGACCCGGATTCCAAAGTGGAAATTGGATCAGGTCGTTTCAAAATATCCTTAAGCCATACTGTTGATCATCTTTCTGAATGTCACAGTTGGCACTGCTTCTATGAGTCAATCTTGTAATATTGTTGGATGCTCCCCTTGAATAATTACTTCCCTTTAATAACTTCATACTTTGATGACCCATCACTCATGATATTGATATCACATTTGTGCTTCAAGGAGTGATCTTTGATAATGCTTGCATAAAACTTCTTGTTGTAGCGTCATTGGAGGATCCATGTGTGTTATCATTTATCTAATCCCTATTGAGTTTAGAGTAATACAAAAAAATATCTAAGCTATTTTCGTAAGCCTTTCACTTCATATAATGGGTTGATTTTCATATGCTATATATAAAAGATACTAATAATAATAATAATAATGACCTCATATTTATAATGATAAGAGCGTTAAACATTTATCTGGTATAATCAGTCATTCCTTCATATCCTTGTATATTTTTGAGAATATTGCATATGTTATTTCATACATATCCTTGTATGTCTTGAGAATAATTGCATATGCTATTCCTTAGGTTCTTCAGGAGTCTAAATATTTCTCATAACTTTAAACATTTGAATATGTTGCAACATCTTTAAATTTGAATTCAATCAAAGTACTCTCTGAAGCAATTTATACATATTAATATTGAGTATAAATTTTGTGCTTCAGGCACATGGCCTTTAGAGAATTGCTTCATGCAATTTTAATCATTCAAGGGTTTTATTTAAGGGATTACACTTCATGTCACACTATATAGCTTTATACACAGCTATTTATTCCTCTTATACGTCTTTAGGGAATCACTTCTGGTGATATGCTCCCATGCATTTAATAACCCTTAAAGATAGCAAGTTGGTCTCTGTAAATGTGTAATAAGAAGGTACAATTGCATGTGTAAATATGGATAACCTCAACATTCCTTGTTTCAACTAGAAACATTTGTGTCATATAAAGTGAATATATTCCTCTTTATTTTGACACCCATGTATAACCTTCAGGGTTAACATCCTTTTGGGATTCATACTATGGGGTTATTCTTTCACGTTCATCCTCATTTGTAATGGAATTGCCTATTTCCATTTTGGCAAATGATTTTGTCAACATTTAATAATAGAACGTGATTCCAATCAACACAACCCATTTTTGTTCAAATATAACCTGTCATGCTAAGAGTTGTAGCGAGCCTATAAAATGCACCGGTTATATGAACCCATGCTAATTATCTGCCAAGCGCTGTTTTGATTCGACCATAGCCCTTTACAATACAATGAAATTCGAGCACGAGCACACCAATCGACATGTCATGCTAAGCAGAAAAACCCTTTATTTTACACCTAGCCATGCTACAAGCTTAGGTGGGCCCAAGCCACGGAAATGCTTGGGGCTTGCTGAGCTAGTTGTGGTGTGGATGGTTACAAGCATTCACGAGGCCTATTGATGAGCTAAGAAGTTGAAGTTTTGGGCTGCTTGGGAGCCCCAAAACTCGAGCCCATTTCTTGAGCCCAAATACGTGGGTAAGCATGAAAGAGAGAAAAGATAGCCCATCACCTTAGAAAGTTGGCCCATCATCTTATTAAATTAGCCCATCACCTTAGGAGTGGCACAAACAACCTAGAAAATATCTTAGGAAAGTCTTCAGCACATGGCCAAAGACAAACCCAAGATAGACCATATAAAAAACCAAAGGATACTTGCATATGCAGGCTACTGGGAGTCTCCATCACATGGGCAAACACAAACCACAATAGCACTTATGCAGGCTATTGGGAGCAAGACACCCTTCAGACCAACACAGTTACCCATTTCTTTCTCCTACCAGCTCTTGCCATGAAATAAGGGAGGAAAGAAGGAGAGATGGTGGCCAAAGATAGGAGATTGCCACTGGAACAGCTGCAGGAAGGCTCTAGAGCTCCCAAAAATCTTGTCTCTATGTGTTTGGCCTAGGAAGGATTTCACTAAATGGAGATGACTCAAAGTAAGAGGAAAGGAAGGGAAGGGAGACTTGGCAGATTTAGGAAGAATCAGCTAGGATTTCTTGGGAAGAAGGAGCTTCCAGTGTCTATAAAAGGGGTCATCTCTTACCTATCATCTCAACCACATCTAGGGAGAGCAAGCATCCCCTCTCACTACTGGAACCCTTCAATTTTGAGCTATGTTCTTCCATTTCTTCCCCTTTTCTCTTGTGGCAAAACACTCAAGATTGTGACGAAGCTTTCGTCAAGCTGCCAGAAGATTTGCTCAAGCCACCCTTTCTTCCACCCTCATCTTTTCCTCTCTTCCCTCAACAAATCCTCTCAAAATTCACTTTCCCCTTACTTTGAACCCCTGTTTCTCATAGCAAATCCAAACATTCTCTCTCTAATGCTACACTCATGAATGCTCAGCTCCTATGCCACAAGCTTCTCATGCTAAGCCATAATATTGATCTGCAACAATTGTCTATCATATATTTTTCTCTCTTTCTCCAAAAACCCTATTCCAAATTTGAAACACTTAGGGTCCGTTCGGTAACGTTTTCGGAGAATGTTTTCGGAGAATATTTTCAGAAAATGAAAACGAGAAAACGAATTTGCATTTTCAAGATTCGAGAATGCGTCTGGTACGCTAACTGGAAAACATTTTCCGAGAACGAAAACAGTGAAAATGTGTCCGGTACAAACATATGAAAATGACAAAAACTGTGAATATGCGTTCGGTAACAGTATTGTAATAATTAGTACTCAAGGAGCAATTTCTTCCATTTTGCCCTTTACGGCAGTCAGGCCCGTAGTAGCTGCCGGAAGAAAAAAAGCCCCTACATTGTGCAATGGTCAAATTAATTATCATTATCCAATACCTGCATTAGCTAACCCAAAATGGTCTCATGTCCTCCAAGATATAATCTTAAATCATAGATCAAATCTCTCATAGTCTCACAAATATCTAAAATATATGCAATATAAAATTTAAAATCATGTTGTCATGAGCACTAAATAAAATCCCGCCACAAATCCGCTGCGATCTTGTCTCTAATGTCACCCATTTGTGCAATATTTCCTGCAGACATATCTATATTCGGTGTTGTTGTATTTTCTGAATCAATGATCATGTCTTCAACTTGAAACTCTTCAAACATCCTATCACGACGAGCTTCTTTTCTTATAAAATTATGTAACACACAACATGCAATAGGAATTCGTCGTTGCCTTCTCGGAGGATAATTAGGCATCAATTTCAAAATTGGAAAACGAGCTTTCAAAACACCAAAACACCGCTCAATTACATTACGTAATGAGGAATGCCTATAGTTGAACAACTCCATAGTACCCCTTGGTGCTCGTCGAGGTCCCCTATAATCACGCAAATGATATCTCTCACCTCGGTAGGGTGCCAAGAATCCAGGCACGTTTGAATATCCAGCATCCACAACATAGTAATACCCTGTAATTTTAATTTATTACTTGCATGACACAAATAATGTACATAATAATTAATTGTAATCTTATGTTTATACCTTCATCTGGAAAAGGAAACTCATTTTCTGGCCTAATCACTGCATCTATGAAC